TTTTTTTTAATTAAATCAAATTAATTAAATTAATTATTTAAATTCTATTTTTTTTTATTAAAATTAAATTAATTAAATTAATTATTCAAAATGTATAACTTTTACTTAGTAATATGTCTTTAATTATTTATTACTTTGTGTTTCAATATTATTAGTTAACACTACTTTTTATTGTATTGTAGATAGAGATAAAGAAGAAGATGCTTCAAGAGAGCATAATCCTATGGATTTATTCATTCAGGACTCCAATTTAATAGATGGATAATATTATAGATTGGATAATTCAAGAATATATCATTTGTTTTATCTTGTTTTTAGACCTATCTACAAGCATCACAGTTTTATCTTGTGCTATATATTTTTGTTAATGGCTATATGTAATTATGTATGTCTCATTAAACTAAATTGGCAAAATTTTATACTTGATAACTTAAAATATATATAACAATATATTTCTTTTGTTTCATTTTCTTTTATATTAATTGATCATATTATTACTGTTTCAATTTGATCGATCAAAATAACATGTTATAAGAATCTCGGAAGAAGAGAGTGAAAAAGAAGTTAATTAAGTGAGCCAATGAGCCAACCCGTTTAACCCACCAACCCGTGGTGGGTCGAGTCAAGTTAGAATTTTTTCGGCTCGCTAATAAATGAGCCGGGTTGGGTTGGCTCAATAAGTGACCAACCCGTGGTGGGTCGGGTTGGGTCGGGCCGGGTTACCCGTTTTGACAGCTCTAGTTTAAAGTTAAAAGATATCATACTCTTTAACGTTAATTTGACGTATGTGAATACCATGTGGTAACATATATCAAAAACACGTGGTGACATCTTTCCCAAACATGTTTTAACAAAATTTGAACTAAAGTAAAAAGTTATCTAAATTTCTCATTCTAAGAATACAATTTTATAACTTTTTTCCATTTTGATTAAGATGCCAAATTTTAAAGGAAAATGATACTTGAACAACCATTTTTGACAACATTTAGACAAGCGCACACGTGTCAAAATCTGAGTGGTCCATTTTCATTTAATTTTTCCAACTGGACCACTCAGATTTTGACACGTGTGCGCGTGTCTAAATGTTGTCAAAAATGGTTGTTCAAATGTCATTTTCCAATTTTAAATTATGTATTAAAAAAATTTACAATTCATTATAAATATTTAAATAAAATTAATAATATAAGAGTTTTGAGTAAAAAATATAAGCATAGCTTTTTATATATTAAAACTAAACCTCACTATCTTTTAAAAATTTGAAATTAAAAAAGGAATGAATGATAAAAATTACAATTACACATTTTAAAAAAAATTAATAATGAATTTGTAAGGTGGTAAAACGCGTTCATCCAGCTGTCAGGATTTAAAAAGAGTGAAAGAAACATACTGGCTCCGTCACCTATACCCTAATTTATACTACCGCCTCTCTCACTCTCTATATATACGAAGCCATTGTTCTAAAACCCTAACTTTCGCAGCGGCAGCTATTTCCGTCAGGATTTCTTCTCATCCATCTCTTATTCGTTTTGTCTCATTATCTATTTTTCCCCATTTCAATTCACCTGCTTTTAATTGCTGTTTGCCTATGATGGTGTTAAATATACTCCGAGATTCATTTCTATGATATAAACTTCGATCTGAGGCATTAGCTTTATCTTCTTCGATGATTCGTAAAGTAAAGTCTTTTAATGGTTTTGCTACACTAGTGCTGCTAAAACTTCTGTTGTTTTGTTTTGTTTTTTTTATTGTTTTTGTAATATTTCTTAGCATGATTGAATTGCAATTGTGATGTTGTTGCTCTAAGTTACTGCATGCGATTGCATGGCTTGTGATCTAGCTTCTGATGTCTAGTGTGAATATTAAAAGATCACAAATAGAGACTCTAAATGTTTTAGTCATACGCAGATGACGAAAAAATAGAAAAGGACATCAGCACTCCAAAGGAGAATGTTGACTTCGTCTAATGGGAATCTCTCTGATGCGTTTGTGTTTATTTTGTAACTTTTTAAGGAAGTATTTGCACGGGTTGTTTCAAGTTCCATTATACGATTTGCAAGTGACGATAACTTAGACAGGGACATCAGTACTTATGCTAAGGATGATGATTTGTCTTTGGGAATCTCTCTGATGCATAACCAATTTTCATGATACAGACTGAGATTATTAACAAGTTAACTTTTGATGGTCCAATGTGTCTAAGTGCAATATTTATCACTTTTATTAACTGATGAGGAATTTTATACAATTATTTAATTTGATATAACCCCATCTTGGGGTAGCGTGCTCTAAATGCTGTGTTGGTAAGTGTATGTGTAATATTGATATTTGATATTTGTAGTATTAATTTGGCCAATGATGTATCGTTTTGCACGTATTATCAGATGTGTTTATGATGATATCTTAATTGTCACTACCTCTGAGGCCATGTTGTTTGGTTTTAAGTCGTTTTGTCTATCACCCAGTGTTTTGATACGAATTACTTATGTTTTAACTATTGATTCTTTCTCTAAGTGGGTTTATTTTGTTGGTTTTTCCGTGATGATTTGGGTTTTTGTTTTCTTATTTCCTATTTAATGATTTTCGCGTAAAAGTTAAATCATTCTGATGAATGCAGCTGTATACTATTTTCTTTTACTTTTACCAACTGCCATGGAATTGTTTCATTGGATTTTTTGGCTGTGGCTGTTGAATGATCTCTAGCTCGGCTGTCCATGTCAAATACGCATTTTTCTCATGTATTGAGATTATTTGTTGTATAAAGTCACTGCCGTTTCCATCAAAATAGCAGTTTCCTTGGACTCTAGATTTGAATCTATTGTCTGTGTTTTACGAGCCTGGTGATTGCCTCTGAGAACGGAGATTTGAAGATGCATTTGTCGAAGTTTGATCAAATTCGGGCTCCAAGTGCATCTTAAGAAATAAAATGTTTATATCGGTGTTAATGAAGGCTTGTAATCTCTCCAAAGTTTTGATTATGCAATGAAAGTGGTTGTGATTTGGATGAAAGTCTCTGGCACACGTTGGCAGATATACTTTTGGAATATGATAATCAAAATTTAATAGTTCTTATTTTGTAGTAGTTTATATTTTTTTACTCTGTCTGACTTTTGGTATGTTGGGTAATTGTAAGCTTTTTGTACTCAGCTTTTTGGTTTCATTACCTAGCTTAGCCTAATTTGTGAAAACTAGACCATTTTTTGGTTAGACATGTTAATGTTTAGTTATATGCTTTATAATGTTTTTAAATAAACTAACATAATCCAGGGAATTGTCTTAGCTTGTCGATTGTCCTTTTTCATGATGATTTCTAACTTACGATTTACACGTCCATTTAAGGTGTATTGTATGAAATATTTTAAATTTTGTTTTTTCCCCTAAATGCAAACCATAAACATGGCGAAAAGGTCAAATGTAATTTCATCTGATAATGTGGTAATCAAATTGATCAGATAGACTCTCTGAATTGCTGGGCATTTGCAGTTCTATATCAGTTTATCTATGGTATGATGTGTCTATGGGTCAGTCCGTGGTTGAAGGTAAAAATTAAAAAATGGGTATGATAATCGGGGAATGCTTGTAACAAGCAAATGTTCATAAAATAATACATTTATTGACATAAGCAGTTTTATATACTCTGCGTGCGAATCAACAAACCTTAGTAGTACCATCTTTATATCTAAGAAATGTATCCTTGAATTCTATTGGATCAAATTTTGTTCTACAAACGTGGGGTTATCTGGTGATAAATCGGAAATTTTTTATTTGAGACAGATGAGTTCAGTTTGATAGAGGATCTTTGTGGAAAATAATTTATAAGAAAGAAACAAAGGAGAAAATAGGTTACAATATGTTACTAAACAAAAAGAGATGAAAGGAGTTTCAACATCTGATTCGAGTTTATGTTCTTTTGTTTAATCTTGTTTTATTCTTGATGATTATAATCCTTGGGATTATGTATAAGTAGCTTATTAAATGCTATTTTTTTAACAAAATTAGCCTAAACTTAAATTTTGATCTGGTCATAAATTTTATTAATTTTACAAATAAGCACAGTAAATAAAAAAATTTAATTTAATTGATCACTAATTTATTTTATCTCTCTTTTTGTAACATATATTAGTGAAAATCCTTAGCATATAGATAAACTTTTTTTTTTTGTCAAGAGTTAAAATACTAACAAACACATTATTTATGTGTTTATCTAACTCGCTATTATTCCGTTAATCTTTTACAACTCATTAATTGAATTAAAATTGAAAACTGTGTTGATGAAAAAATGGGAATAGTTTTTTTTAGCTTTAGCAGTGGTAACACATATTAATAACTGCAATAAAGGCAGTATTTTAATTAAATGAGAGAACTTTGACCTCTACTAACATGAATTATACTTTTTTTATTTTAAAACATAAAAGAAATAGTGCAGCATGAGAACTATTGAATGAATCAACGATTGAATAATATCAATAATAATAAATTAAGATATTATCGAAATTCATCAGCCATTACCACTCTAAAAAATTGCAACAAAGTGAAATTCACATTTCGTTGATCGAATAAACGTACGCCCAAAAGGCACCAATCATGAATGAATTCATGGAACAGTTAAGCCCAATACCAAAAATATCTGAACCTATTTCTAAAAATTTGACAAAATGTTTTAATATCCATTTAGAAATGTAATATTACTAATAACAAATGGCCTATTAGCTCAGCTGGTTAGAGCGTCGTGCTAATAACGCGAAGGTCGCAGGTTCGAGACCTGCATGGGCCATTTTTTAAAATAAATTATTCTTAAACATGATTGTCCGTATTCCTTTATAAGGAAGTTCAGAAAAATGTTATTCATGAATATTTTCTTTAGTACGACCTGGTTTACATGTGCGTATGTTTTATATTATGATACTATATGCATTTTTAGATAAAATATTAGTACAATATTGTGTCTATTGCTAAACACACATTCCAGTGTCAAAAAAGTTAAATTTCAATCCAACTAATGACATCCAAAAACAAAATAAAAAAATAAAATCCAAATAGAAAATGTATCGTACAAGACATTAGGTAAAAAAGTACAAACCAATATCAACTTTTCTTTCTAGTAATAATTGATCTCACTCACTGTGTAGTGGTGTTTCCATTTTCCCACTTTATGAATGTTTGACTTACAAAACAACACGTGATAGTAATAAACAAATAAGGACTTAAAATATATAATTTACGAGTCTAATTTCATAAAATTGAGACAAAATTAAATTTCATTTCTTAACCTACATAATATTAAATGTTTTAATTTAACTTTTAAAGAATTTTTGTTATTATAATTTATTTGGATTTAGGAAACTTATTTGTGACAACAGTTTTTCAGGTTTGTAGTAGGTTAACAGTCATGCATTTAGTTTCTACTTTTCAAACATTATGCGACACTATTCATAGACTCCTCCTTCAATTATACAAACTGTGCTATTCAATGTTGGACCATGTACTCTTTCCACCCAAAATTTCGAGAAATGGCAAAACCATAAAAACTTAGCCAAGTAATTGCCACCGATCTGTATATTAAAATCCCAACCTTAGTGGTTTCTATGCAACTCCATTAGGTGTTAGTCCCTTTCTTGTTTGCAAGTCTCACAACTTCCCTACCCTCACCAATTATCAGGGAATGTTCCATTGTTCTACAAGTTATCTAAACGAAGTGTTTAAAAAACTACCACAAATTTAAAATCATTTGGAGATACACAATTTAGGTTTTTCTTAATACTCAAGTGTGCATGAATACATAGATAATTAAAAGTGTTGAGTCGGTGAACCAATCCGACAACTCAATCCAAAAAAATGAATTAAAATTACTTTTTCAACTCAAAAGTCCGACACAATTCGTCTTGTCAAGTCTGATAGACATATCCGACCAGTCTGACATCATTAACAAAACTAAATGTAAGTAATTCGTTTCCATTGAGTCCAACGTGTCAGTCCAACATCATTAAATTAAAATAGAAATGTTATATTCAAATAAATAATAAATTATTCAAATACAGCTCGATAGTCCGACATCAGTCCAACAATTTATCTGACAGTTTGTTCAACAACTCGACTATCTGACATAAACTCCCTTTAGTATGATCAGTCTTACATGCCTATAACTCGACATACCGAATTATAAAATTCAATCCATTATTAAGTGACATGTCAATTTAATTTTGCTCGTTTTTAAGGACACAAAATCAATCTAGGTTAAAAACGACACAAAATCAATCTAGGTTTAAACGAATTGGATGAACTTGTTTAATCACCTCTACATGAATCATCCAAAATTTCGGAGAAAAAACAAAAAAAATTGATTTAGACATAAGTTGTGGCAGCTTCTGCATACATTTTACTTTAGTGCATGCAAACTGTTATAGGTACGCAACAAAAATGATACAACTAGCATGTTCATAAGTTTGCCTAACCCACCAAGCCTATAAAAGGTAATCAATTTAATTGGCAGATCCTACTTTGTGGTGAAAATGACAAGGAAAAGGAAAATGCATTTTGTATTTCAATGATCTGCTTCGCTGTTCAAATCAAGTCTGATTTATCTTTGTTTTATGAGGGGAACTTGTTATTTTGTGCCATGATTCACTTTGGACTTATTCTTATTTTCAACACCTAACCCTCTTCATTTCGTCACACCATTGGTTAATTAGATATTTATGTAAGCTGCCTCATCAAAACCAACAAATTAGCATCCTACTTTTTCTTTAGAAAAAAATAATAATATACCAAAGATATGTTTTTTCTTTTATGATTTAGGCCAAAATGCAATGAACATGTTCAAATTATTTGATGATCTCTTAAAAAATGGCTTTAGAACACTGCGGAAAACCACAATACATAATAAAGACATAGAAATAACATTGCCTTATAAATCCCCATTATCTGGGAAGGTTATGACAAATCACGAAAATCTCAAATTTGAAATTCGACATATATGATCAAGGAATTTTGCATTAATTAGAGGATGAATGTTTAACTTTATCCAGTGTTGTTGGTGTCAGTTGCTTTTGTGTAAAGTAATATTCAGATTTAATTGCATATTTGGCCTCTTAGTTGTAATATATTACAAATCTTCGTTGTTTAAATATTAATTTCGAATGTTTAGACAATTCTTTTTTTATATAAAATTGTTCTAAAAATATAAATACGATTTTTTTATCCTTAAACTAAATTAACTTAAGCATAAGTTCTTTTAGTGTGTAAGTTCTTTAATAAAGTTTATCTAAAATTTTATTTTATTCTTCTTCTAAAAGTATTTATGGAAATACTTGTTCCAATAAACTATATATACGATTCTCTACGTATTGACTTTTCAGTAGTTTCAAGTTTTGTGAAAAGTTGTAGTTTGATTCCATTTTCAAATGCTGAAATATAAGCTCTATTGAATG